GCATCTCTTAACGGCTGTGCAAAGACAGAGGCGATGTCACTGTTTGGAATGTGCATTTTTCTGAACTTTACTTGTTTGGCCGCATCTCACCACAACACTGCGGTGTCACACCAGCACAGCGGTGCCCCGGTAGGAATGGGGTCTCTCGTGGGGTCATGGAGCAATGCTGACGGCCCTTCTCAGCGCCCACAACCCCTCCGAGTGCCCCCGCTGCCTGTGGTCGGGGCCGGGCACTGCGGAGCTGCCTCCCGGCGTAAGCCTTAAATAGCAGCCTATGGAAGCACGGTGTGAGGCGGGATGTTGTGGAGTAACGCGGTATCAAACTACGGCACCTACAGGGAGATGAATCCGGGGTCGGGAGCGGACAGCCGGCCGGACACGGCCGGCTGGGTTCCGTCGCTGCCGGGGCCGAGCAGGCAGTGCGCAGCGCTCCGCTGGGACGGGGCCGTGCGCGTCACAACGCCGCTGATCGCGGGCGCTGCGTGGCGGTGCCGTCAGACCCTCAGAGCCGCGCAACCGACGCGCATCTCCCGCCGAGGCCCTTTTCCCTCCGCCCCGGGGCAGCGCTGCCCGACCCCGACCCCGGGAACAAAGGGTCCGCCCGGGGGGTGGGGGGAGACCCGCACGGCCCCGCACCGAGCGGCTTCCGCTCCCCGGCAAGTTCAGCCTCTGCGAAATGAGTGAATGGCACAGCCCCGCCGAACTTGGAAAAACGATATCATCCTTGTGTGTGTGTGTGTGTGTTGGGAGGCTGAAATAATTAATTCGCCAATCAGCGACGTTTTGGACGTATTTTTTTCTTTTTCTTTTTCTTTTTTTTCCCCGTACCGCCCGGCCCGGGGCGCGGCCCCGCGCTGCCGCAAATCACGGCCCGGCACTCGGCGCGGCCACGCGCCGCAATTAACGCGGGCACGCAATTAGCGCGGGGACGGGGCGCGCCGCCATCCATTACCGCGGGATGCGAGCCGGGCAGGGAAATGATAAAATACGTGGTGAAAAGCGGCGGCGGTGGGAGTGCCTACATGAGTGATCGCCTCGGGCTTCTGCGCCTTGAACTTAGCGCGCCGGGAAATCCCCGAGGTCAAAAAGTAGGAAAATTGTTGCAGCCCGGGGAGATATATTTTAACTTCGCAGAGGGTCCGCGCGAGTTCGGCCCCGGGGAGGGTGCGGGCTGCCGGGAGCGCCGCGTTCCCCGTTCCCGGTTCCCCGTTCCCGGTTCCCGGCTCGCGGCGAAGCGGCGCTGAGCGCCCCGAACCGCCCCCGGGAGCTGCGTGCAGGCGGAGCGGTGCGGGACGGCCCCGAGTGCGGCTCCCCCCTCTCCCCCCCAGCGCCGTCCGTTCCCAACCCCCTCCCGCTGACCGCGCGGCTGATTTATGGAGAGCGATGTTTTAGCAGAAATCCCCCAGAGTCGCCCATCAGCCCTAAATCCCCAACCTGCTCTCCCTGGGAGACCTCATGACACAGAGCATGCCAAAACAGCTCCGTTTTGCCTATGCATTAGCAATCTATTTTACCTTTTTGACATCTCTCACACATAAAACCGTAAGAGAGAAATAAAATATCTGTCTCTGGGCGAAAATAAAGCTTTGCCTCCCTCCTGATCTATAGGATATAAAATAAAGCCATGGCTTTGATAGTGGCTTTTCCTTATACCGGAGTTGCTTTTGCACACACGGAGACAATGAAGATGGATGAGCGGGGATCGGTGCCTCCTCTCGGGGTTTGTTTCACCCTTTTTTATCGTCTCCCCCTCCCCGCACCTCTTTACTTTTCTTTCTTTCTCTTTGATTCGCCTTTCCCTGCCCTCCCTCGTTCTCTCCCGGTGCGCACAGCCCCGTTCCCCACGGCCGGGCTCGGCCCCATCCCTGCCCCTTCCCGCTGTTTCCCGACCCCTCCTGGCCCGTTCCCAACCCCTCCCGGTGCTTCCCGGCTCCTCCCGGCCCGGCGGCAGCCCTCACTCAGACGCTCACACCGTCGGAGCTGTAATTATTTATTAACTGTATTTTCCCATAAACAACTCGGGAGCTTTGGATGTAAGCGACGACATTTAGCGAGTTGGAGAGAACGCTGGGGGGGTTCGTCCGGGTTGGGGAGGGGGAGGGGCGGGGCCGTGCGTACCCCCGCATCGCACCGCGGGCGGCACAGCGACCCGGGGCACTGCTCCGCAACTCCGAGGGCTTTTCGGCGCCCGTTGGCACCGACGCGGCGTCCCTTCCGGCCGTGGAGAGCGCAGGGCTGTGCCGCGGCCGGGAGCACCGCCGCATCGCGCCGTTCGCTCGGGGAGATGTCCGAACCGGGCGGGAGATGTCCCATCTCCTGACAGACCCTCGTTCAGGCGGCGCCCCGGCCCCGAGCCCTCTCACTGCGGGAAAAGTTGCGGGAGAGGCGCAGCGAGCCGTGCGGGGCCGAGGGGAGCCCGAAGGACTCCCGCATCCCCGGGTCCGGTTTGGGGCAGCGGACCGCTCGTCCTTAGAAATCGCTCTCGGGATGAAGGGCCCTCCCAGCCCCGCAGCGCTCCGCGGTACCGGCGGAGGCCCCGCAACTCGCGGCGGCCGCGAGAAGGGTGAAAGCGAAGTGCTGCAGCGCGCCGGGCCCGGCCGTGCTCACAGCTTCCGAGGGGGAAAAGGGCAGAGCGGGAGAAAGGAGAGAGCCGCCGGGAGAGCTCCCACCGCTGCGCCCGGGGCTGTCCGTGCGGGGAACGAGGAGCGGCCGTGGGAACAGCGGGGCACCGCCGCGAGCCGGGGTACCACCGAAAGGCAAATTCAGACTCGCCTGAAAAGGGCGTTTTGTTTCCGCATTGGATTTAAAATAATCTGCATTTTTAAATCGTTATTATTATTATTATTCCTTTTTGAAATTTGCTTCTTTTTCGGCGCCGCGCACCCCCCGAACGGAACGGGGAAAACGAAACAAACTGAACCAAACGGAGGAGCGGCGCCGCGCGGTGCCGGGCGGGCAGTGGGGCGGCAATCAGCTCCGCATCCCGATGGGTCACCGCTCCGGGGGTGCGAGACGCGCCCCGGGTACCCGCGGCTCCGGGGGCGGAGAGCGGAGCCCCGGTGGAAAGCGGCCGAGAGCGGCGGGGGGCGGGGGCCGGGCCGAGCAGATGCTTTCGCTAACGCCTGGGAAAAAAAAAAAAAAAAATCGCTGTGAAAAAGTGGTGCTTGATGGACGTGAGATGCTCGTCGCCTCCCGCGCATTCATCCGCCGACACATGGCACTTGGGGCCGCAGTCAAAGGGAAGCGGTCCCCTGGTAGCAGCGCCCAGCTGGCGGAGCGGGGCGGAGCGGGGCCGCCCGCGTGAGAACGGCCCAGATGGGGCCGAGGGCATCGATCCCGGGCGGGCGGGGCGAGGGGAGCGGGGCGCGGCCCCGACGGGGCGGGAGGGGCGCGGGGCGCGGCGGGCAGGGCCGTGGTTGCTGGCAGAGGCGGGGAACATCCGTTTTATTTCTCCGTTTCTCCGTCCCGCAGCTCCGACCGCGCGGAGGTCGGAACGCGGCCGGATACGGGCAGGACCGCGGGGCGAGCCGAAGGGAACGACCGCTCGGGTTAGAAGCGAACGCCGCTTCGCTAGCCCAAAAAGCGCGGTGGCGGCGGGCGGCCGTCAACGGGACCCCGACGGACCCCGCGCGGCCACGCATCACCCCGCGGACACCTGCGGCGCCGGGCCAGGCCCTCCCCGCCTCGACCCCGGCCGGCAGCGGGCAGGAACCCGCGGGTCGCGGACCCCGCGATCCGCCCCGTGCCGCGGCCCGCGGCCCCCGTCCCCCTCCCGCCTCGCACCTACCGCTGCAGCGCGTCCCGGGGCTCCGCGCGGGGCGCACCTTTACCGGGCGAAGGCGACGGCCGGCGGCGCCCCGCGCCCTCGCGGCTCTATAAAGGGGCGCGGACGCCCCGTCCGGCGGCGGCGCGGCGCGGGGGGGCCACGGGGGGCGACGGTGGCGGAGGCGGCG